AGCTGTGTTAACAGTATAGCTTATTTTTCATGTGTTTTTTTCTACTAAAAATGAATATTCTCCACACTGATACACAGTAAAAAAATATCTAAACACATTACCCTACAGTGTGATTTCTATTGCCACACATGTCAGTCTTCCCTGTTATATTTTGAGCCATGCCCYACTGTGCTGCACCTCCAACCCTCCCAGCTCTGGTGGCTGTCACGAAGCTTAGCCTAAAAACCAGGAGGCAATTTCGCAAAAGGGGAAAGATATCCCCTTTAGTACTTTCCAACACGATGTGGCATCTGTGAGTTGTGTAACTGAAGTGGAAGCAAATTAGGAATAAAGGAAGTTCAGGGAGTCTAAAAGAAGTCACGGAGAGTTCACATGTCTCTCTGTGTCAAGGTGAAAATAGGAAATCTGTGAACTGACAATGGGTTCCGCAGCGAAAACAACAACTGGAAATGGGGTTTGGAATATTTAAAAACAAACACTTTAATTCTTTATATTACTGTTGAATTTATTGTATTTATGAATATTCATCAATGATAAAACAGTTTATTACAATTAGCTTTTTACTCTAAACCAACCAGAAGGCAAACACTGAGAAACTCGCTTTGTTCTCTTAACTCTTAACTGGAACTTTTGAAGTAAAAAAAAATGCAGCTTTTGTAAATTATTTAAAGCTTTAAGTAACATCTTACTTTAATTGCACTACCAAGTCAAAGCAGTTTGCAAAATTGTTCAAAAAACAATTTTATTTATCAACTAATATCCTTCTAAAAACTACTTTCACCTCTCAGTAACACACATCGCTGCTGTAAACTGCTGGATGTAATTTTCTGCAACTCAGCCACAGATGTTAACATTTCTTGAACGCATTATTTCATCAGCTCAGTCCGAGTATTTTAGCAGCATGTGTTGCGTTAGCCACCATCTCGTAACTCTTTCGTAAAAACCCGACTCGTGGGGGTCCGACTTTTGAGCGTCGTGCCAATTAAGGGCAGTTGTGTGGTAAACAGATCCATGCACGCTGCACTTGGAGGAAGGACTGCGTCTTATTTCATTCTGACTCCGCTCTCCATCATGTGTTGGGAGCGGGACATGATGGAAACGACTCGTGACAGTTCTGACCCATTTGGAGGTCTTTCCGCACAGCGCAGGGCTGCGAACTCTCCCTCTCTAACTCGACTGGCCTTAATGTCGGCCAAGGCCGAATACAGTTTTCRTGTCAGCGCCACCGTTAAGGCAAATCTGCAATAACCTTCCACTTTTGATTTAGTTTAGTTGATGTGCTTTATTAGGGCTATTTTTAAAGCCCATACATCTCTTCTGCGCTTGAGAAGTTTTATAACAGATTCATGGCAGAAACGAACCACTGAGCTGTTCCACCATCACAGCAAGGCTCAGCCAATGGATCGGCTTTGATCTGCTGAATGATTACTCGTCCTCCACGGTTCTCCTGCCCTGCGCAGCGATGACAGCTTCAGCCAGAAGGATTTTGTCTTCTGGTTGTCAGCCAAGTTTCCAATCCAGCACTTGCAAAACCTCAGGAACACCTTGAAGAAATTTCTACAAGCCTTGTTTCGCTTCTAGGCTTTGGAGGTCAAAGGTTAAAGCTGCTGTGGCCACACAAAGCTTTATTTTGGATTCAGCTTAAAAACTCGTAATTAAAACTAATTCGTGTGTCGCATACACTGAGTTAGTTTGTTGACAACGAAGGGTGAAGGTCAGTGTGGCAGTGGCGGACCTAGGATTTTTCAGTATAAGGGGCCATCGGGGGGCCACAATATTCATAGAGGGGCCAAGTATTTGTTCAACATGCTTGCACACAAATCCCCAGTTTTTGTAAGGTTTACACATTTAATCAGTCACACATGTTTAATCACATGTAAAAGCTTGTACAGTAAATTCTCTTTTTCAATTTTACATGATTTTTTAACTGTATATAAATAAAATACTCTCAAACACACAACATGTAAGAAAATCTAGGTGAAAGTAACAATAAAACATTTAATAACAATTCACAAATCTCAGTAAAAGGACTTCTTGTTTCTAATCATGAAAAATTAGCTTACTTATTTATGTGACGGCCCTGCTGCGCCTCCTGCTTACAGCTGATTAGGCTGGCAGGTGCCTTCTATCAGGTGTGCTTCCTTTTAAGGTCCTGAAGGGGAGGAGTCGAGAAGACCTGAGCCTGTCTTAGGDAGCACCTGGTGTGAAGTGAAAGTAGGGAGCAGTCAGCATGAGCACTGTGTGACGGTGCGAGGTGTCTCTGCAGCGCTGGAGCAACATGCTGCATTGAGGAGACGAGAGGTCTGAGGTCTACAGAGTGAGGAGAGGTGTTGGGACTGAGCTGAGCT